TCCTTCAACAGTTGCTCGTCGGAACGAGGCCAGCGGTGCTGCTGATACACCTGGACAATCAATACTTTGCCCTCATCCATCACACTGAACAGACGGACTCGGTGTTGGTGTAAATCCCGGCAGTGGTAGACGGACGGACTCACAGCAATGAGGGAACCTGGACAGAAATTTCATACTTTGCACCTTTCGATGCAACTTCGCGAAGGCGGATAGGTAGGTCCTGGGTCGCCCCAATTTTCACTGACAACACCACTCGTAGCTTCGTGGGTCTGGCGCGGGCGACACGGATTTCTTGGACTACGTGTCAATCTTTGGTCGTCATTTTGAATGCCAACTCACCGGCAATGTGCACGATGGAACTGCAGACCCTCGTCAGATAATCCATCGGCCAGAAATGTGATGTACCTTCTGTTTGCAAGCATGCTAGCAGCATTCATGGTGTGAGGGCAAGCCACGAGGCGGTGTTGATTTCGGTAATCGGGCCGAAGCTGTTGGTTAAATGAGGCTCATCGCATATTTAAATAGGTCCGTCCTGAGGCAGTGACAGTCACTGGACTCAGGCAGCTGATCAAGTGTCCATTGAACTGAACAAAGCGGCAACCATCACTCTCGAAAAGAGTTTCCGGCGCTGGCGGCCTATGGCGGTACCGCTCAACTTTCTATCCACCGACTAAGCGACCCGTGCGACCGTGACCAATGCCCGCAGAATGCGGCAAAAAAATTGTCAGTCTGGGCGTTATTCTGAATAATGAGAAATACAATCCCATGCGGTCCGCGCCCGGTGCTATAATATGTGGGTGACCTTGGATTTGGACGCTAATTTCTTGCACAACATGCATTTCTGAGTCCTCCCGTGTCTGTCGTTCGTTTTCCTGCTTGGGGAAGCATACACCTCGTTCCACGACTTCGGCATTCCACCCTCCAATGCTACCGTCGACGTCAAGGTATTTAATCCCGGAAACGGCATCCTCAGGAGCAGTACCCACGGGTTTGTGCTCCCCGTCCTTCCTGGACGCGAATCCGTCAAGTTCCCGCTGTTTGCCTTCCTCGTAGAGCACAAGCAGACTCAGAAACGTCTCATGTTCGATCTCGGGCTCCGGAAGGACTCATTGAACTTCGTTCCCAGTATTGCTGGCCTGTTCTCCTCCGGAGTGGCCACAATGGACAGACCCGAAGATATTACCGAACTGCTGCAAGACGGAGGGATTCCCTTCACGATTGACAAAGTCATTTGGAGCCATTCCCACTTCGATCATATTGTTCGTAAAATTCATCCAGTGCCTTGAAATTGAATCTAAACAAGATTCAAGGGAGACATGTCCAAATTCCCAAATACCACAGGGCTCGTAATTGGGCCTGGGACGGACACCTCGACTTTCCCGGAATTTCCCAACGCTGCATTCTCGCGTGAGTTTTTCTGTCGCTTGTAGCGTGCTGCCAGTTCATTGTATATATAGCGGGCACAACATCACCGAACTAAATTTCGTTGAATCGCGTCTTACCTTCAGCGGCTTGAAGGCAATTGATTGGTTTAATGACGGAAGCTTCTATCTCCTGGACACGTCTGGGGTGAGTGCTCCTGTATGCATATCTGGTAGCAGTTTCTCATCCAGCGCAAACCATAGCACCACCCAGGTCACATCACCGCCCTCGCGCGTGTTACCCCCACCTCCTTCATCACTCTTGGTGGAGACACTTTCCACCACGCTGGAAAGGCGCGCCCCCGACCCCAGTTCCAGGTGAACTTCCCCTGCCCCTAGGGCTCTCATCCGTTCCCGTTTTCGACGGGTCAACGGGCCGTTTCTACGGGAACGGCCCCGTCCGTAGAAGATTGACTAAGATGTATAGACGGGACGGGTACGGAACGGGTGAAACCGTAAACGGGCAACTCGTACCCGGGTCGACGGGTCGAGGTGAAGATGACTTAATGCGGGATGGATTTTGGGTCAAATCGGCTTCGGCAAAAACTCGGGGGTGTTTTGGCGCGGTGAGGTGATCCCATCGGAGTTGAAATCAGCGTAGGGACTCCTGGGAATGGCCTCGACGGAACAGGTACGGGACGGGTGACGCCAAAAACAGCCGTAGAGACCCGTTCCGTCGAACGGGACGGACGGGTTAGAGTCCGCACATCTACTGGAAGAGACCAAGACGTCCATCTCAACCGACTACTTCTGGTCCCAGAGGTCGCGCGAAGGCGTGTTCGACATGCGCTCCCGCGCCTGGCAGTTCTTCGCAGTCTCGGACTTCCCGGGCTCGTTCTACGCCGACCCGGTGACGTCCCAGGTCTCGCTGGAGAAGCTGGCGACGTTCGATGCGGACCCCGACTTTTTCATGATTGTTGCGCACGATATCAGCTTGAGGTCATCCCTCCCGTACTTGCCTGCGTCCCTCAATAACTGGAAGGCGAGCCATCTGAAGGAGCTTACGGTGTGGAATTTCGTTGAAAAGGCGAACCCTGCTTTTATATTCAGTCCCACGTAGGTGGCACCATAATAATCAGACAGTGAATCTGATTTAGTGAGAGGGTACTACCGTAGACTGGTATTCCTGGTCCATTAATATTAATGCTTCTCTTTCGTATCTAGAACTGCATTTATTACATGTTTTACTTGTCAACCCTCTGGCTCGAGCTCAGTGTCATCGGTCAAGGACTTTGCCGCCCAGACCAATGCTCGGAAATGGCGCGCCTTGCGTCCGGATGAAGGTTCCGTTGCGCGGTTAGACATGGTTTCTACCATGGTCCCCATTGACGAGGAATCCGCTGTTGACGGTGAATCCGGTGTTGGTCGATGACGGCGTCGGAGTGGCATTAAACTTCTTGAAAGGCGCCAAAATGCACCGGCGAGGGGAGTGCGGCACGGGCAGTCCAGGTGCCACAATGGAAACGAGGTGAGGAGGGAATATATTGCCACAACGATGGCCAAAAGTATCGCAGCCACCGCTGCGATGCCAGACTTGATCGGAATGAGGAAGGCAACAAATCCGGCGAAGAAGAGCAAGAGTGATGCATGGAGAAGGAGTAGGATGACATCCACGACGGTGTGCATGTTGAATCACTTCAGTCCATAGTACAGATACGAGAAGATGCGTGCGCGGATGACCGGAGCTGAGCCCCTGTCTGCCTTGTGCAGGAAATCGCGGGCCCACTGTTCGAGGAGAGTCGCGATGAGGGCGCAGGTCAAGCTGAGACTGAGGCTAATGCGCTGGAGACCAGCGATGTAGCCGGTGGGGTGAAGGCAGGCGGTGACTGTGTAACAAATGTGCTCTCATTGGCAGCAGCAGCCGATTACTGAGATATTTGTGTGAGGATCTGCACTGTGGAGTCGCCAGGGTCTTGCACAAGAGTCTTGTAGCTCTCGACGATGAATGTTGTGAGACTAGCGGAGAAAAGACCCGCCTTGCATTCATCAAAACCATCAGCCATCTATCGTGATTTTGCAGCGGAGTGCACGCACAAATATTAGCATTCCTTCCATGTCACTCTTCCAGCTCTCGATCACTGCAGGGCCTTGTCGTATTTACGGCCTCCGAGGCATACACCGCCCAAAGCTTCGCGGCGGCGCCTTCCTCCCTGGGATCGTTAGCTGGGTTATTTTGAGTGCGCGTTCTCCTAGGCAGCTGAGACAGGCCGACGTGCCATCTCAACGATGCATGGGCCCTCTCCTTGTCTGACTTGAATGACATGGTCGTCGTTGACAGAACTCGAATGCTCGGCGATCATCCCATCATCACTCGTGTCAGTCAAGTGATGTCCGGGGGTCAGAATTTAACACTTTCCAGTACAGATATATGCTGACACTATGCCACAATGTGGGCTCAGAGAGTGGGTCCGATTCCCAGAGATCCGCGCCTTGTGCAGTTTTAAATTCGAGCCTTGTTCGAGTCCCAATTTCGCGAAGGTTACGCAAACTTTGTTGGTTTACCATCATTAGTTTTTCCACAAAAGCGTCGCGGCGAGTAGGTAATATCTGTAGAGCACCGCGTGAGGGCTGAACTGAACTGAACTGAAAACAGGCGTAGCCGAGGTGATCCGGTATTTCGAACTCCGCTTCCTTAATCTTCCGGAAGCGTCCGGCGTGCTTTGAATTTTCTTCTCTGCCTTCACCTCGATCGCGCGCGCTAAATCTACCGAGAGGATAATTCGGCGTGGCACCAAAGTGCCCCCCATTACTATTCCTGCACGGATGAACTACGCCTTGAGACTTGACGTACACTTGATGGTCCCGGCAAAACTGTTGAAGTCTTTCCTTCATAACAACCTCGGGCCCGCCTCTGCCTTCTGTTGGAAATATTCCGGGCTGGACCGGAATTGGTTGCGAGCAGCACGGAGCTCGTGATCATCGTCGGATGGCACGGACCAATTTATGTAAGCCTTCCATGATATTCTATCACTTTGTATCTGTGGACGCCATCCGTTTGCCTACGTACGACCACCATGTACATGTAGGACAAACGTATTCTACCTCTTTGTTTGCTGGTTCTCTCTCTTGTGCTTGCCACCCCATAGCCTTGCTGGGATTATTTCAACACCTTCGTCGTCCTTCATTTGCTCCTAATCCTGTCATCGCTTTCGCAGACCTCTTTTATTGTGATTATCTCTTGAACCTGAACTCCAAGTCCCATGGTCATCACATCGATGATCGATTCAAAACTAAGATTTTTCTTTTGGTTGGCACACTTCACGAAGATGAGTCCATATCGACGCAGGAGTGTAGGAGCGTGTGGAACTTGCTCAGTTCGGATACAGCATTCGTCCTCTGTCTAGACTTCGAAGGATACTTTTTTCAATACTTGGCCGCTGAGAACGGGATAAATCCAACCGAGTTCAACCGCTAAAGATTGCCTCGCGGGCCAGTGCTAACATGCGCTTCCACGATGTGTTCAATTCGCGCCAGAAGAAATTGCCCGCTAGTTCCGCTGTGGGGTCTGGTTGTGTTCATGTGGTTGAAAGCTCTTTCCCAACCTTCTACTATTTGGCATTGGGCCCAAAAAGGAAGAATGACCTGGTAGTGTAATGGTTACACATCCTCCATCAGTGCTCAAGTGAGTTCTAGTATGAGGAAGTTCCCTGTTCGATTCGGGGTTAGGCCATGGCGCGTCGGGAGAACATTTTTCTCAGCCACGGTTTACTTGAAAATCGGCAGAAACGCTCATCTGTAGCAATTGGGTTGAATCTGAGGAGGAGAGAGGACCTGGTGGTGTAGTGGTAACACATGTTCTCTTTGCATTCCTTCAAGATTTTTCATGAGGCAGTTTCCCTGTTCGATTCAGGGCCAGGCCGTGGGACTCTTGGATTTCTTTTTCTCTTCCTTTTCCTGCTCACCATCTTTTCCCGGAAATGAATTCGTGCCGTTTTTGAACTAGAGCCGAGAACGAACGTCAAAATTAATACATTACAAAATAGGCCGCTAAGTTGGCCGGCTAGGGAAGGAATGTACAGAGCCGTTGCCGCTAGGCCATTGATGGAAAGTCCGTCGTAAGATACGTAAAATAAGCAGTCGAAGAATGTAGAATAGGAATAAAAACATAAGATGGCCGCTCAGGGTCGAAGGAAGCCGCTAGCAACGCGGACACGAGGACGCCGGCTAACCTGGACGTAAGGATGCCGCCCGCTCACAGCAGCGCCGAGACGACCGCCACCGCGCCGAGCACAACCACGGCCGCGAAGTTCATCGGTGCGCCCACGAGCGCGCCGCTGGGCTTGCTCTGCGTCGTCGCCGGCGCGGAGGTCGTCGCCGACCCCGAGCCCGCGACCGCGTCCGCCGGGCCACGCATGGCGATCTGCTTGAACGCGGCGAAGTTGTTCGGGCCCGATTCGACGGCGTTGATGGAGAAGACCATGCCGGATGTGCAGTGCACGGGTGGGCCCTGCTGGCCACAGTACCCCCAGATCGGCGCGGTCTGCAGGATTCGCGCGTCAGCAAGCGTGCATAGAGGGAAGGAAAGAGGAGAGGACGCACGTCGTTGATGGTGATCTGGAAGGTGGGGAAGACAGTGTCGGTGGTGTTCACGAACTTGCTGTGCGGGTGTCAGCCATCTGTGAGGGATCGAATATAGAGAAGGACTGACAAGCCAGACTTGAAGCCGACCTGGCCGGTGGTGGAGGTCTCGGCGAGGGGCTTGCACGGCTGCAGGAAGCTCGACTGCGTGACGGTGTGATTTTTGGGGTGGAACTCAAAGGTGACGGTGTCGCCAATGGCGGCGGAGATGTTCGACGGCGTGTAGTTGAGACCATCCGCGCCGACAAGGACCTTGTGGTCGACGGGTGCGGGCGCGAAGGTGGGCGCGGGCGTGCCGACGTAGCTGCTGTACACCGTCGTCCAGGTCGAGGCGTCGTGCGTGACCGTCGCTGTGGCGGACGCCCACGACTGGTCGGGCGGCGTGGTGAAGGAGGCGTCGGTCGTGGCGGACGCAGCAGGTGTCGTCGCGGTCCCGGTGCCGTTCAGCTGCATTGCGAGTTTTTGGAACGCGTCGAAGGAGTGCGGGTCGGGGTCCGCGGGCGCGTTGATCGCGAACACCATCCCTTCATCCTCGTGTCAGCTAACCGCGATCTCCAGCTTGTGTGAAACGGAACGCACCTTTGCCACAGTGGCCAGTCTGCTCACAGTGGAACCAGAAGGGCGTGTCGGATTTGGCGACGACGAACGTCCAGGTGTCGAGGAGCGCGGAGGCGTTGCCGACGAAACGGCTAACAGGCCACTCAGTCAGACGGAGCTACCATAAATTTTTATGGAGACTTACAAGCCGGACGTGGCGCCGCCAGCGAGGGGAACACAAGGCGCGTCGAAGGACGACTGCGTTACCGTGTGGTTCTTGGGGTTGCTATTCCACACCCGTCAGCATCCCGGACCTATCCAAGAAAAGAGAAGAAAACACACAAGACAAATTCGATCGAGTCGCCCGCGCTGGCGGTGACCGACGGCGGGTCATACAGGAACGCGCCCGTCGGGCCTACATTCACGGTGACGGTGGACTGCGCGAGCGCCGCAGGCAACAAACCAAACACAAGAGCAAGCGCGCTACGAGTAAGCGTCATTGCAAGTTCAAGGAGAATAAAAAGCGCGGAGGTGAGGGGAGGGAGAGAAAGCGGAGGTGATGGAGGGGAGAAAGCAAAGATGAACTGCAGAACAAGGGCGCTAGGGCCGCCTTTTAAGAGCGCTATTCGCGTCGCGTGCGCCTCGGTGATGTCGGATTCCTCCCACAGTTCCGGTCAGTGAAACAAAAAGGGATCCCCCCTACAGTATGCGGGGCCGCCGGCGAGGCGCCCACAGCCGGGAACAGTTCGCGGGGCTCGGAGAATGCAGAATGCACAGAGCAGCGTATTAGGCTCACAATACAACGCTAATTGTGGCAGCTGTGCGCAGGAGGCCCAGCCGCAGAGACCGATCGGAGAACTTCGCGTTTCGTTTCGAATACCGCATCGCCTCCTAGTCTGAGTTGGCCCAAGCGTCTGGTCCGCGTCTCCTCTTGTCTTGTCTCGCAAAGCCTTTTGTCTCCTTGGTCTTGTCTCCTCTTGTCTCATGTCACATCCGCGTTCCAGAATTCCAGTCAGTCGCACCCGAGCCGGAGTAGTCCTGTCAGCGCCCTCTAGCGCCCGAAGCTTCGCTTGAAGATCGCTGGCAGAATCCCAGTACACGGGCGATGCGATGAGCTGCATATACGAAAATCTTCTCGTCGTCAAGCGTCTGGCAGATCCTCACAGCCCGGGTCCTTGATCGACATCCACGAAGCGCCCGATATCAAAAAACCAAAAATGAAGCAGAAACAAGAAGGCCGGCAATTGGCCGGCGTCATATTTCGGGCGACACAGCCACGTATCTATTAATACCCACTCATCGCCTTATCGAAAAATTATTCTTCAGTCTCGACATCACTATTCACTATTCATTACAACAAACGCATCTATCCTTATCCACGAACTAGCTAGCCAAATTTATATGTATGTATGTACGCTGGAGAGAAAAAAAACGATCGACAGACGGAGCGAGGACTCAGAAAACAGAACAGCGATCGAAAGCCGTATAGTATCGACGAGTGTATCAGATCGACAACTGTATCAGCGCCGCACCAAGAAACTCTCTCCCCTGCCCTCCACATCCTCCACACAACACAGGCGCAGGACTCACGCAGCCTACCGCCTACCGCTCCCCCGCCATCGCCCGCGCATTAACATGCACATGCTTCGCCAGCTCCCCCACCTCCCAACACACCTCCACGCCCTGCATCCACGCACACCCGAGCACCTCCTCGATGCTCGCGCGCGCGCGCGGGTCCGGCTCGAGCATCCGCCGGATGAGCGGCCGGCACGCGCGCGGCGACAGGTTGCTGATCGTCGGCGGGAACGCCAGCGGCGGCGCGTTGCGCCCCTCGCGCTCGCTCGGCGCTATCGTGCTGCCCGCGGGACTCGGATTTAGGGACGCGGTGGAGGGGTTGGCGGAGGGCGGGGGAGGCGGGGGCGCGGCGACAAGCGGCGGCGGGGGCGTGGCGGCGGCGGCCGTAGCGTACGCGGCGTAGAGCTGGTCCGACGGCTGCGCCGCGCGCCACGGCAGCTCCTGAAAGTGCAGGCAGTAGTACACGATCCCGCACGCCCAGATGTCGACCAGCCGTGCGTCGTAGGCTGTAGTTGAGCAAGGATTATGGATTATGAGCCCCCACCCAGACCAATTTTTTTTAAAGCGACTCACGCTTCCCCAAAAACTGCTCCGGCGCGATGTAGGGTTCGCTCCCGCAGAGGCCCGTCGACATGTGGATCGTCGCCTCCCAGGGGAGGCGGTAGACGGTCGAGGCGCCGTAGTCGCCGATCTGCGGGGAAGGAGTGAGTACGGTGAATGAACGATGAAAATGACGATAAGGGAGCCGGGGCTGGGGGCATGATGATGAAGATGAGCCGGAGCGGGGAATGGGGCAGGGTAGGGGGAGGGTGGGAGGGGGTGGGAAGAGAAGGGTCGGGGAGGGATGGCGCGGAATGAAAGTGAAGATGAAGAGAAGCGGGAGGGAAAGGCGGCGTGCGGATGAAGACGACCCGAGCCGAGCCGGGATGGCCGGAGAGCGGCGCGGAAGTGCAGATAGAAAAAACTCAAAGAAACACACCTTCAAATGCCCCCCCGTATCAAAGAACAAATTCTCCGGCTTGATGTCGCGGTGCGCGACACCCTGCGAGTGCAGGTAGCCCACGCCCGCGAGGATCTGCTTGAAGCAGCATTCGACCTGGGGAATAATGAGTGTTAGCAAGGGGTTAAGATGAGGGAGGGATGGGGAGGGGAAGCAGCGGGTCGATAGGATGAAGTGTACGCGAAGAAGAGAAGATGGAGGTGGGGCAAGCCGTCAGGATGAAGGGGGAGGGAAGTTGGCGAGCACGAGGGAGATGGGAGTGGGAGAACGATGCGAGGGGAAGGGATGGAGGATAAGGTGTAAGGGACACATAACAAGCCGGGCGATAAGGGAGGAGGCATAACCCATGTAAAGAAGAACAACCCACCTCGCTCGGCGACATCCCCCCGCGCTTGATCGCGGCATACAGGTCACCGCCGGGGCAGAACTGCAACGAAGGAGTCAGCACGCGGCACACGGGAAAGAGTTTGACAGAGAGTGAGAAAGGGAGGAAAGAAAGATGGCGGGCGCCGACGCCCGTAGCCCCGCGGATCCTCGACGCCCCGCGCGCATGCCGGGGACACCCTCCGCATGTCATGTACGCCCACACCGGGCCCTACACATTACTGCAGGATGTGCGAAGCAAGAGCAAGACGGCTTCATCCGAGGGACTGCGCGGGGACGGCTGCCAGCCGGGAAAGGGAGGGAGAGGGCGGGCGCAACGGACGTCAAGCCGAGTAGCGGACCCGTGGCGGGCACCGACGCAGACGCATGCACGACACAACGAACGCCCGCCCTACACCCCCGGAAATCCCTCGGGATCCCCCAAACCCCGCGCGAAGCCTCGGCGAGGTCCACACCCGCGGGAAAGACGTAAAACGTATTCACGTCTTCGCACTCGCAGGCATCCGCGCCCTCCACACCCATCCTCGGACGGTCGGCTCTACGCCTACGCCCAGACCCAGACCCCGGGCACCCTACGCACTACACACTACACACCA